ACACACACACACATTTGCACTAATATGAAGGATTACTCACCAGACTGGCCCACTGCTGAATTCTATCACAGGATATTTGTTTGACAGCGACCTAAAATGACAATAAAAGTAATTTAGAGGAGAAATGTATGAAGATATTGTTTGCATTTTACATGAGAGTATATCATTCTTACCTGTAGTCCGTCTGAAATGCGCTGTCCGGAGAACACAGAACCGAACCCGCCGCTTCCCAGAAGAGAGCCCATCTTATATTGCTTCTCAAAGTGCTCCTTAACTGAAAGTAAACACAATCGAATATAATAAAGATGTCGGTCCTTCTAAATGATGTTTCTGGATTAATATACAATTTAGCACAAGCGCCATTTAGTATTTAACTGTTGGTAAATGTCAAAATAATTTAAAGGTGTAATTCAAACATAGCCTTCTATTTTTTCTTGTTCGGTATTTTAATGAACTTACCATTTTTTGCTCTCACGCCTTCCAGCTGATCCGAACGCAGGTCAACAATCCTTTTATCCAACATCTTTACGAATAAAAACTCTAAAAACAAGTGATATCTTCGGCTACAGTGCGCCACCTCAGCAGAACATATCCATGGTAAGCTGTTACGGTCCGTCACTGTCTGTTTTCAGTTTAATTCAAAATCCAGGCTTTCGCAGCGAGCGACTCCTTCGCACACCCGCAACACTTCTAAACCATCTCGCAGTTTGTTGATGTTTTAAGTTTACATGCGTAAACACGCCCACTCTAACGAACCCGCCCAATCGTGGCCAACACGCTTGGAGTGTTTTGAACGGACAGCCAATCACAGCGCTGCAAATTTTTACACAAATTAATATTAATGAGTTAATATGGTTAAAATTCTAGAATCTCTACAGACGACGGGAATACCTTTGACATTTTTTTTTAACGCGTACATTTTGAATTCACTTATGCACTAAGGCAAGATATTCCAGCTGTTTCTTTTTAGTAGCATTGTTAATGAAACCCGTGAAGTAACCACTCCGATTAGACTAAACAGACTGTTAGAATAGAATTTAAAAAGCAGCTAGCAGAGATAAATCCCACTAGTAATTAATCAGATATTAGTGTCTCATCATAATTAGGTACAAATAAAACTGAAATAGATACTAAAAGTAAATACATTTTACTACTACTAAACGACTAGGAAAACTGGAACAGGTAAATGGAAGTGTAGCTAATCCCCAGATCCTCATATAGAATTATATAGAATTACATAGCAAAATGTGCCCCTTCTTCTTCTTTTTTTCCCCTCTTTTCTTAAACACTCAAGATTGAATCTGAATTGAGAAATTAAGTAGTACCCAAGTAACAAGCTCTAGTCATTTGAATAGCTAGTCACACTAGTGAAAATAAAAAAACATACTGGTCACTATTGGGTTATTTACTAGTAATATAAAAAATTGAAGTCAAACAGTAGTAAAAAAAACCAACAACAGTCCTTTAGCACAAATATTGCACACATCTGCACATATAAATAGGGATGATCTTAGAACCTTTGAAGGGCATAATGACTCATGCTTCAGCATGCTCTGTGCATGTGGGACAGTCCCACATCAGCTATTTACTAAATCGAATGTGGTTTTGTCTCCAAGATGACATACCAAGAAAAACGGAACTTTAATAGCTAAGCGATGACATTTGATAATGCTTTATATGCAGATATCAAGACCTCACTTACCAGACTTAAATGTCCTAGTGAGCATTTGAGACACTTGACTGGTAGATTTCAGCATTGCATTAAAGTTGCATGCATTTCTATATACACCTAACTATTCAGACACACTTCATTCTTTAGTTTTCCCCATTTGAGAGTAACAGTGAAATCTTCAAAAACAGGAATCATGGCTGTATAAAGAGGATGCCAACAAATAAGTACATTTCTTCAGAAAGTTCTTTTTTTATTCCAAGAAAAAAAAAAGGAGCATTTTCATCCCAAACAAGAAAATAAAACAAG